CGCTTAAGTGCCTCATCGTGTAGGTGTACTGGGTATATTTTGATTGACATTTATGGCTTCACTATGACTGCACTGAGCAAGAAGCAAGCTTTAAGACCTTGAGCTCAGCACAGGAGCTGTACTTATGGTACTGGCCAACATATCCCATAAATCCATCCAAATGCTTCTCAACAAGATTAACGCATGCATTAATCCTTTACAGAAATACAATTCCTCACACAAAGACTGTAAGGGCATAAATGGAGGTTATTTTGAAGACAGCACCTCCCTTATTTAATTCCAAGGCCATATTTTTAACACTACTGAATCAGATTGACATCAACAGTACACTAATGATGATTAATCATCCAGGATCAGAAGCTGCTCAAACTCTTGCAGGTTATCATCACTCCCAGCTGTCCTGTTTGAGTCCAGCAAAGCAACATGATGGCACCAGCCACGGGACTGATGTTTATGCAAGGACATTGCCAAGTGCTAAATTTATGCCCCCTCTCTAGCTTCAATAAACCTGAGTTTACACTGCACCCGCTGAATACAGAAATCTGTTGGGAGCTGAATACAGTCCAGACAGATAGAGGTGCTGTAACATTATGATTGGTCTCCAATTCATCTCCATGTATGCATATAGAAACAGAGCCATAAAAAGAGGCTCATTAACATCAGCATCTGAAGTGCAAAGCCCCTTTAAACCAGTATTGATCTTCATATCTGCTGCAAGTAGGAGTGTGATATACAGCAACTGTAAAAAGAGAACATGCAATTAATATAAATCATGCGGTCATGTCAAAACATCGTTACCTTGGATGTGCTGGTTACAACACTCTCCAGCCTGTCAAGTCTCTCTATAATCCTCAGCGTTTCTCCTCTGCTGTCATCGTCAAACTTTTTCTCGTACGTCCTTCCTGTAACTTTGACGTTTCCGTTATTAGACACATAATTGGTGATCCATCCGACGTAGAGCAGACACAAAATATTGGTCATGCCGCTTAAAATCACGCACGTGGACACCAAAGTTTTGGTTCTCCTCGTGCATGCCATCGCAACATCCCCACGTGCGCAGCGCGCGCAGAAACAGGCACAAATCCTCTACGCGTTTGGCGGCGGTTCTGCTCTCATACAGCCGGGCGGAATGATCTTCCGTATAACGTTTCGGTTCTCCGGCACATCTTATGTGACAGGGAGCTGCAGCTG